CCTGCTATGAGTCAGCATGCCCTCCATGGCAGTGAGTTTTTGAGGTGGCACACTGAGGAGCCCTGGTGGCCGAGAGGATAATCGCTGGACTGCTAACCACAAGGTCAGCAGTTTGAACCCCTGAGCTGCTCCACAGGAGAAAGATGAGACTTTGTGCTCCAGTAAAAGTGCACTGAAGTGACAGGGGCAGTTCTGCTCGGCCCTGGAGGGCTGCCCGGAGTTGGAGTCTGCTTAGTCCTCCCCCTTCCTCATGCCGCCGCCCTTCCATACAGCTCCTCATGTGGTGACACCCAACCAACAAATGATTGTCGTTGCTACTTCATCACCACTGTCTTGCCACTACTGTTACAAGTCATCATGTAAATATCTGATATGCAGGATGATTGGGCCACCCCTGTGAAAGGGTCGTTGGACCCCGGGACCCACAGGTTGAGAACCGCTGGCATAGAGGATCCGGAAGAGGCCCAAGGCCCAGAAGTGCTGGGCAAGCCAGCATAGGAGGCTGGAGGGCAGACACGAGAGTAGGTAGAAAGGGTGGGGGGTAGCCCCAGTGGGGTACACTGTCTGGGTTCAGGCTGCCAACACAGAAAGGCAGGGCTCTGTCCCTGAGCCCACCCTGCCTCAGTTTCCTCTGGTCAATGGAGCATAAGGTCCAAGCAGCTGGCCACAAGCTGGAAGGGCAGGGCTGCAGGGGTGGGGAACCCCAGCAGAGGAGAGGAGAGGAGTCTTGGGGCTGGAGTGAGGGGAGCCAAGGGAGGAGGTTGGAGTGGAAGGTTTGACCCATCCAGTGTTTATCCCACAGTGCCACCAGGGCTCCATGACCCATCCCTACCCCCGCCTCACTGTGCCTGTCTCTAGCCATGCAGTCTGCTAAACCCTGGAGCTAAACTGTGAGCCCGTTCTCCGCTTCTCCAAGCCTGCAGCAGGCCTCCTCCCTGCCGTGCCCTACCACCTCCCCCCCTGCCCACAGGCCCAGTAGTGACCAGTCCCCTCCACCCTAGGCTCCACCGGAGAGCGGATATGCCTTGCAGGTGACAGTGCAGGGGGGAACCTCTGCTTCACCGTGACCTTCCGCGCAGCAGCCTACGGTGTGCGAGTGCCAGATGGCATCATGGCAGCCTACCCAGCCACCATGCTGCAGTCCGCTGCTTCGCCCTCCCGCCTCCTGAGCCTCATGGACCCTCTACTGCCCCTCAGCGTACTCTCCAAGTGTGTCAGCGCCTACTCTGGTGAGGCCCCGGTCCAAAGAGCTGGGGACCCACGGGTCCTATAGGGAGAAGGGCTAGGGACCGGGCTCCTGGGTCTGAGGGAGGCTGGGGTGGGGACTTGGAACAAGGGACAGAAATCTGAGCGTCTTTGTGCCTACTGAAATAAATGTTCTAGGCGCCTGGGTTCTGAAGTTCTGGGTACTGAGACTGGATCCCCAGAGAGACCAGCCCAATGCCCACCCCACCCACACCCACACCCAGGTGTCGAGACAGAGGAACACTCCGATTCCAACCAGAAGGCGCTGGGCGTGATGGGGCTGGTGCGGAGGGACACAGCCCTGCTGCTCCGAGACCTCCGCATAGGTGCTTCCTCGTGGCTCAACTCCTTCCTGGAGTTCAGTGGACGCAAGTCCCACAAGACCTCGGCACCCATGGCTGGTGAGTGAGGTCCTAAGTCCTTCCCACCACTCCCACCCCTCACCTATCCTTTCTCCCACCACCACCACCCACAGGTCCCTCCTTCACTCCCACTCCACACTCATCCCTTCCCCCAACACCAACCCACACCCCTGCTTCTCCCCACTACCACCCTTTTCCAGCCCCTTGACCCTATCACCCCCCATTCCATCCCTCCACCCCGACACAAAGTCTTGATTTTCCACAAAGTCTTCATCCTGGAGATTCTAGGGCCCCTGGTCCCCCAGCCCATCTCAGAGCCCCGGGAACTGTAGGCTTTGCTCTCTATACAGGCTTTCCAGGGAGGCACTCACACCCTGGGAGTTGACTCCCAAGGCCTGGTTTCCAGTTCTGCAGACTCCACTCATGTCTCTTGGGCCTCTGAACAAGGGCCCCAGCCTTCTCCAGTCTTTGCACACACAAGGAACTGGCTCAGGAGCCCAGGGTAGGGAGATCAGCAGACTAGAGAAGCCTCAGGAAGTGGAGGTATGCCTGGATGGGGTGCAGCACCCTCAGAGCCTTGGGAACCTGCACCAGGAGCCACAGGGGAGGGACATGAGTTCAGAAGAGGTGGCCTGGGCAAAGAACTGTATCCTCAAGCCTTCATTTGCTCTTCTGTGAAATGGGTACAATACGAGAACTGACCTCAGAAGGCTGTTGTGATAGTCACACACACACCATTTGGTCAGGTGCCCAGCGGGGCATGGCACACAGGGATTCCCCTCAGAAGATGCCAGAATCCCAGACAGTCTGTGCTGTAACCCCAGTCAACTGTACTATCCCACTGGCGTCAGCAGTGGTTCTCGGTCTTGTGCACTCACTTGTTCCCATACCGGCTTGTGTTTGCTTTAGTGGATTTATAAAGACCAAAAAACTCGGGGGGAAATCTAGGGCTGTAGGAGCTCAGGTGGCCTGTGGTTACAGGTTGAGCCACTAACCGAAAGCTCAACAGTTGGAAACCACCAGCCTTTCTGCGGCAGTTACCGGCTCGGAGGCTCCCAGGGGCAGTTTTACCTGTCCTGCAGGGCTGCTGTGAGTCGGCACCCACTCGATGGCAGTGAGTTTGGTACGGCCCTAGTGCAAGCCACACGGGACTGATAAAGGAGCAGAGCTGAAGCCAAGGCCAAAGCGCAGGCAGTCACACCGCAGGCCTGATGCTTGTCTGCAGCATCATTTGGGCACCTGCTTGCCTGGTCACTCAAAGGGGAGGGATACAAATGCAGAACACAAGGTGTTTTTTATGGAGAGCCGACCTTTGTGGCCACAGGTGAGGAGGTCCTTAAAATCACTGATGGCCCCAGCCTCTTTTAACCTGTGAAGTGCCACGGCGTGCATGCTTCTGCCTCAGGAATCTTTAGCTATAGGAATGTGCTAGAGGGGAGGAGGGGCAATAAAACCACACATGACCAGCTCTGGAGTCTGGGGCCTAATCTTGCCCCCGGCTGAACTGAGCAGTGCCATTCCTGTGAGGTGCACTACTTGTGTCCCCATTGTACAAAATGGGGAGCAGGGTCCCAACGGTCCACTGACTTGCCCCTCTCCCTCAACACACACAACCTGTAATGGAGGAAGTCCCTCCTCTACCACACAGCCCCACCCCCAGGGGACTGGACCTGCCAGCCAGAGGACTCCAGGGAGCACCCAGGTCGCCACAGGGCTAGGAGCAGCCCCTCCACGGGCACTGTCCTACCAGCCAGCCAGTGGGCGGCCAGGCTCTGACCCCGACCCTCTTGCAGAGCCAATACCGATGCGGCGCAGCGTGTCCGAAGCGGCGCTGGCCCAGCCCGAGGGCCCGCTGGGCCCCGACCCAATCAAGAGCCTGACCGTGCAAGACCTGAGCCTCAAGGGCAGCTCCGAGGTGTCCCACGCCTGCAACACGTCGCTGTCCGCTGAGACCCTGGGCCCCTCCAAGCCCTCGGATGTCAACTTCTTACTGGGGCCAGAGGAGGTGTCCGAAGAGGCAGAGGAGGTGTCCGAAGAGGCTGAGACCATCAATAAACTGCACTCCCCTGACCGCAGCCTCGGCTCTGGCCCCTGCGCCAGCGCCGCCTTCCCGGAGGGCTTCCATCCGCGGCGCTCGAGCCAGGCAGTCACGCAGATGCCCCTCTATTTTTCCCCCATCGCCAAGAACCCCTTCATGTCGCCGCTGCTGGCTCCCGACTGCATGCTGGAGGGCCTACCGCCCGTGCACCTCGTGGTGAGCGCCACGGAGGGGGAAGGCGGGGACATAGCGCCCAGGGCGGGTGAGGCTGAGAGGAGAGGTGTGCGCAGAAACGACAAAGTCTGGAGGCTTGAGAAGGCCAATGTTTGGGGTTTGGCCACCCTAATGGGTGCCTGGCTCTGGACACGGAGTCGGAGGGCGGCCCTGGGCTCGGCAAATAAGAGGGGGAAAGAGCAGTGGCCAGGCCTGGAGTGCCCAAACTCATTCTCTTCTCCCCACTTTCCCACCTGTGCCCCCCCACATCCTCTCCCCGCTTCCCCCGTGTCCGTCGGTTTCCCTGCCCCCCTGCCTTCCGCCGTCCCGCTTGTGCCACCCCCACCCCCCGATGTTCCGCAGGCGTGCGCGCTGGACCCCATGCTGGACGACTCGGTCATGTTCGCGCGGCGGCTGCGCAGCCTGGGCCAGCCGGTGACGCTGCACGTGGTGGAGGACCTGCCGCACGGCTTCCTGAGCCTGGCCACGCTGTGTCGCGAGACGCGGGAGGCCGCGGCGCTGTGCGTGGAGCGCATCCGCCAGGTCCTGGCCCCGCCCGGCCCCGCCGAGCGCGCCACGCCGCCGGCCTAGCCAGGGGGCGGGCCGAGGGAGGGGCCGGGGGGCGGCACTAAAGGCCTCTGCTTCCCACCTGCGCCCGCCTCGCTGGTGAATGCGGCCCCGGACCCTAGGGCACGGCAGGACGGGGCGAGCGGTGCCTTAAGCTGCAGAGCGGGATGGGGCGGGCGTTGCAGGCCGGGACCCCGGCCTGCGGGAGGGGGGCGAGCACACACACACACCCCTCCCCCAGTCGCCGAGAGCTGGACCTGCTGCTGCTGCTGCTGCGACCACCACGGCGCCGACACCCGGCGCTCCCCTGCGGGTCGGCTGGTCGGTTGGTTCCAATTTTTGTGCTTTCTTTTGTAAATAAAAGTTATTTAACTAGTTTGGCCTCTCAAGCCGGTGGTTGTCACCAGAGGGCAGCATTGCGCTCAAGTGGCTGAGAACCGGCACACCTGGAGGCATGAATTTCTCGGCCTGGGGACAGGAGGGGAGTGTGGGCGGCGGGATTCCGGGGCGCACCCAGCCTGACACCTTGCAGCTTAAGTTAGATAGAACGCTGGGGGGCTCTGGGTTCTCACCTGCCCCTTGAGGTTCCCTGGTCCCTAGCTAACTAAGGTGGTGGTGGTCCGTGCCCTTGGCTGCACCCTATTGTTGAAACCACCACGCCCAGTCTTCTTTCTCCAGGGACCCTTCTCTCCTGATCACATGTCCCAAGTATAGACAGTCTCACGATCCTTGATTCTGATGGCATCCAGGCCGTACCTTCTTCCAAGTCAGATGTGTGTGTTCTGAATAGTCCCCAGGTATATTCAGTATTCAAACACCACCCCCCACCCCACCCCCCGAGATTCAAATGCACCAATCCTTCCCCGTCTTCCTTTATCTAGCTCTCATATGCATAGGAGGTGAAAAATGCCAGGGCTTGGGTCAGGCCCACCTTATTCCTCAAAGTGACTTTGCTCTCTGATATTAGAAGACTACTCCCCTTTATAAGCCCAGCACTACGCAGGAAAAGATGAACATGTCCTGGGTCCCAAAAGCTCCAGTGACACCCCCCCCTCCCCAACCAGACCAAAGCTAGCAGGAAGTCAGAAACACTGGGCGCCCAAAAGATGAGGCACAAGACCAAGCCGGCTGCAGGGCAGCCATTCAGATCGAAACTCCATCCGGCTTCCTCGGCAGTAACTTCTAAGGAAGCAGATCTCCGGGGCTTGCTTCCATGGCACTGCTGAGTGGATTCAAACCGCCAACCTCTTGAAATCCAGGGCATTTACCGTTGGTACCACCAGGAACAAACAATGGCACAAGCCCTGCCCACTGTGGATAGTCACTCGGTCCACCCAACTATATTCTGCAGCCTCACCCTTTGCAGACCCTGCGTCTGGAACAGAGAGGGCGTCCCTGGCAAGGGGTGTCCCGTCCTGAATTGGGGGCAGAGGGAAAGAGGCATAGACACAGCTGCTCCACGTTAGTCTTCCAGGTGGGCATCACAGATGGCAGGGATCCAGCTTGGCTCACTGTTGTGGAAGCAAAGAAGCAGGGATGAAGACCTCTGCCTGGCAAGGAGGTCAAGTGCAAAGTGGGCAGTGGTCTGAGGGCCCTGGAATGCCCTTAGGGGCAGATCCTCGCCCTGGAATGCCATTTGCACCATCTTCAGGTGTGGTGGTTGCTAGGTACACAGTGACTACTCACAATAGAAAGACTGCCCGGTCCTGCGCTATCCTCACCATGTGTTATGTGTGAGCCCATTTTGGCAACCACTGTGTCCATCTTGTTGAGGGTCCTTTTCACTTCCCCTCTATTTACCAAGCGTGATGTCCTTCTCCAAGGACTGCCTCTCCTGATAACATGACCAAAGTATGAAAGACGAGGGAAGTCTCACCATCCTTGCCTCTGAGGCGCATTCTGGGTGGGACTCTTCCGAGACAGATGTTTGGTCCTTTGGCAGGCCACGGTACTTTCAGCACCATCGTTGACATGCATCGGTTCTTCGGTCTTCCTTATTCAGTGTCCAACGTTCCCATGCATCTGAGGTGATTGAAAATACCATGGCTTGGGTCAGACACACCTTAGTCCTCAAACTGACATCCTTGCTTAACCAGGGGAGGGGGCAGTTGTGGGTGGGCTTTGAGCAGGGGAAGGGCAGGGTCCACTGGGGGCCGTGGAAGAGCCTACGAGGCTAATGAGAGAGACAGGGCTGAGGCTGATGCTCTAGGAGCAAAGGAAGAGGCTAGAGGCAGAAAAGAGCAGGCCTGAGCTGGGGGCACAGGTCGTGCGGGTGGGGCAGGGGGGCAGACCCTCAGAGTCATATTTGACGTTGAATGAATAAGGGGTTAAACCTTGAATTGGGGGACAGCAAAGAGACCAAGACATCTAGGGCAGCTATCGAGTGGACAGGAAGGCCATCTTTGCCCTGGGAGGAGACGGAGCAGGGACAACCAAGAGGCGGGAGAGTGGTGTGGACACTCAGTTCTGGCTAGAACAGAGGGACTAGAACCTTCTCTGGGAGAACAGACAGAGGGCCAAGGGGTAGGCAGTGGAGGGGGAGTCCTGCAGAGCTGTGTGGAGGAGCTGGGAAGGGAGGGCGCTAGCCAGCAAATAGATGGGAAATGGAATTCCCGGCAGGTGGCGGGGTCAATGTCAGGTGAGGCCCAGAATACAATCCTTGGCCAGAGCTGTGGTGGGGCTGTGGGGTGGGCAGCCAGACTTCAGTGGGTTGAGTTGGGAGTAGAAGGTGAGGGATGGAGCCAATAGGTACCACAAGTTTTGGGGTGTAAAGGAGGTAAAAGAGAATTTGAGGGAGCTTCATGCAGGACTGTGTGTGTGTGTGTGTGTGTGTGTGTGTGTGTGTGTGTGTGTGTGATACTGGAACCTACTTTCGTGTGTGTGTGATACTGGAACCTACTTTCATGTGTGTGTGTGTGTGTGTGTGTGTGATACTGGAACCTACTTTCGTGTGTGTGTGTGTGTGTGTGTGTGTGTGTGTGTGTGTGTGGTGTGGTGTGTGTGTTGGAGATACTGGAACCTGCTTTCATGCTGCTAGAAAGGAATGGGTGGGACACAGGAAGGCAGTTTCCTGAGGGGATGATGGGAGACGGACCCTCACCTGAAGGCCCTCATTCACCCAAGTGGTTTGAGTCAGAGCCTGAAATGGAAGAGAGGGCATTGCCCAGATCTCTCCCTGAAGGCCCTGACCACTGTCCTGAGTCACAGCTCCTCCCATCCAGCCCACAGGGCTCACTGCTCATCTCTGCCCAAACAGCTGTCACCCCGGAACCCACTCCTTCCTGTCCTCTTCTCAGACATGGCTCCATTGTCCTCAGTCACCCAGAGTTTTGTTCTTACTCCAAATCCCTCTTCCCACAAGCCACCAAAAAAATTCAAACCCACTCACTGCCACTAAGGTGATTTCAACTCAGGGACACTCTCGGACACGGTAGAACTGCCCTGGTGAGTTGCTGAGTCTGTAACTCTTTACAGGAGCAAAAAGCCTCGTTGTTCTCCCACAGAGTATCTGGTGGTTTCCAACTGCTAACCTTGAGGTTAGCAGCCAAAAGCATAACCACTATGCCACCAGGGTTCCTTCCATAGCCCACTAATCTCCATATTCTGTTCTCTCCATCACCCACTCACCCCCACCCCTGCTAATCTCTCCACCCCTGCTACCTGGGTGCCTGCCCCAGCCCACCTGCAGGGCTCCTGACTTCTAATCTCATTCCTCTAGTTCTGGCTCCATTTCTGACCCTGTCCCCTCTCTAAAACCATCTATGGCTCCCCACTGTCCCCCGGTGCCTCTGTCCACTTCTTCATCCTATTCCAGCTTTGCAATTCCCTCCACTGGCCACAGAGACTGGTCTTCCATCTGGGACCCTGCAGACATGCAATACTCACTCCTTCATGCCTCTCTGTCACTGCCCAGGGCCACCACCTGCACCTAGCACCTCCTACTCCAGCCACCTCTGGAAGCTCTTTTTTTAAAATCATTTTATTGGGGGCTCGTACAAGTCTTATCACAATCCATACACCCATCCATGTGTCAAGCACATTGGTATATTTGTTGCCATGATCATTCTCAAAACATTTGCTTTCCACTTGAGCCCTTGGTATCAGCTCCTCATTTTTCCCCTCCCTCCTCAACTCCTCTCCCTCATGAACCCTTGATAATTTATTATTATTTTGTCATATCTCACACTGCCCGACATCTCCCTTCACATACTTTTCTGTGGGGGGGTTATTTGTAGATCCTTGTGATTGGCTCCCCCTTTCTATCACACCTTTCCTCTACCCTCCCGGTATCGCCACTTTCACCACTGGTCCTGAAGGGATCATCTGTCCTGGATTCCCTGTGTTTACAGTTCCTATCTGTTACCAGTGTACATCCTCTGGTCTAAGCAGACTTGCAAGGTAGAATGAGGATCATGATAGTGGGAGGGGGGGCGGGTAGGAAGCATTAAAGAACTAGAGGAAAGTTGTATGTCTCATCATTGCTACATCGCACCCTGACTGGGTGGTCTCCTCGCCAAGACCCTCCTGTAAGGGGATGTCCAATTGCCTACAGATGGGCTTTGGGTCTCCACTCCGCCCTCCCCCTCATTCACAATGATATGATTATTTGTTCTGATGATGTCTGATACCTGATCCCTTCGACACTTCGTGGTAATACAGGCTGGTGTGCTTCTTCCATGTGGACTTTGTTGTTTCTCAGCTAGTTGGCCGCTTGTTTACCTTCAAGCCTTTAAGACCCCAGACGCTATATCTTTTGATAGCTGGGCACCATCAGCTTTCGGGACACTCTTTCCTGATGGTAGAACAAACCCATATAAGATGCGCTGTGCTCTCTTCTTGGCTCCCCCAACCCTGCCTGTCGAACTCCATAGGGGCACCTAGAGGGCAGGGCCCAGGCGTGACGGGTCTCGGTCAGCACCATCACCCAGCCCTGGGAAATATTTGTTTAATGGGTAGGTGAGGTGTGTGTAGGGGCGGGGACCAGTGAGTGAGGGGATTCAGAGGACAGGGGGGACTGGACGCCTGCGTGAACAGGACGAGGGTGGAGCCGCAGAGGAAGCTCCGGCTCAAGTGGGCTTGAATGGATGGATGGAGAGCTAAGATTGTGCTCTTACAGTGGTGCAAAAACGGGTTCTCCCTCCCTGCGCTGCTGCTTCCGCTGCGAACCTCACGGAAATTCACCCTTCCTGGCCCGAGCGATGGCCAGAATCCCCAAACTGGGCGTGCTGGGAAGGGCTTACCCGGCCGAGCCCGCCGAACCAGTTCCCTCGCGAGCCTACTCGGGCCTCTGCGGAGCCCGCCGGGCGCCGCTCGTGAACCCGGAAGCGGACCCCGCAGGCTCCACGCCTATTGGTCAAGCAGACGAAACTGGCGTCTTCACAAGCCTATCGTTGCCCGAGCTGGGCTGCCGGCCCCGCCTGCCAAGAACGGCGCCCGGAGTCGCCAAGGGAAGCCGAAGCTGGGAGTATCTATTGGCTAGATGACCGTGACTGACGTCGCGCGTAGCTTATCGCTGCTAGGTCCCGTCAGACCCGCCCCTAGAGAGAGTTAGGGGGCGGGAATGGAAGGCGTGGTCGGCTGCAGAATGGCGATGAATGGGTTTCTGGAAGCACATACCAGAGCTGTTTGCTGGCCTCACCCTTGGGTCCTGAGGCAGGAAGAGACTGGGGATCAGGGGGAGGGAGAACTGGGGGCCTGGACTCCTGGGTCTTGAGGGTAGAGGCAGCTAAGGACTTGAAGAGCTGGATCTAGAGAAGGGGATCCCTGGACCCCAAAAGTAACTGGCTAACTCCGGGGTTGACAGATTTGGGGCTCAAGATTTTATGAAACGTTTCTTTCTCAGACTGGAGCCTGTCCGGTCCCCACAGGCACCAGTTCTCATCCTGAACGTTAGCTAGCGATGGTGCGGGTGGTGGGGTTTGGGGTGCAAGGCAATGGGGAGGTGGGAGCAAGACGCTGCCTGCGTGCTGCTGACAGAGAGGAAGGGACAGGAGACTCACGTGGAAGCAAAGAGGAAAAACACAGATACCGGTGTGAAGAGATAAAAATAATAAAAGCACAATAATAGCAGCCCTCTTGTATTGAGTTTACTGTGGACCTGATTGTGTACTAAACCCTTTATGTAATTAATTACCTCGTGTTACTACTCATCACGGCTTTCAGAGATGGAATTATTATTATTACCATCCCGATTTTACGAGTGAGGAAAATTGAGGCTCAGGAACGAAGAATCAAGATACAGATGTAAAGCGAACCACGCCCACAAAGATGATGGAAATGAACAAACACCATAAAGACAGGCCCAGAGAGGGGGAGACCAAAAGGGGAGGGACTGGGTCCTGGGGGAGGAGGGGCGGAGTTGGGAAGGATGAAGGACCCAGGATGAGGCTCTGCTGCAGGGTATTCCCCACTCTGACCCTATGATCAAAGGCGGTCCAATCCTTTCTGTGGGTGTGGATCATGTTGGGGTGGAAAATAGTGATTAGGAAGTGGCAGGTATGTCATTATCCAAAAACCTGATAAGAGAATGATACATGGGGGTGCCCCTGGCTTGGGAGAGGCCTTTTCCTGCCGCCCTCCCCCCCAATACCTCTATTCTTTGAATCAAACAGATCAGGATTGAGGGAGGACTGGACTGAAGCAAGGATCTCTCTTCTTCCTCCTCTCTCTTCTCCTCTTTCTTCTCCTTTTCTTCCTCCTCCTTCTTTCTCTCTCACCCCTCTATCATTCATCTTCCCGATATCTGTCATGGTGGCCCATCACAGAAACAAGTGGGCCACCTGAGGGTCTTCAACTCTGGAAGTCTCTCTTCTCCCCACCCCGACCTCAGACCTTGAGTAGATGTCACCCACCACAGGAGCTGTCACACAAGCAGGGGCTCCACAAAAGGTGAATAAATGGGTGCACAAACACCCGCACCCCTCTATCTGTCCAGTTCTTTCTCAAACCCATCCCGCCATCTCTCTGTGTTTCCCTGTTACCACCTTTTTGCCTCTCCCTGGTCTCACCATCTCCTCCCACCTTCCCTTTCACTGTTGTGTTTCTCCCGAAGGCGCTGGCCAGACCCACCCATCCCATCATCCCAATTAGGAAGAAACAGAGACTCATTTTGGAAGAAGGCTTCCTCCCAGGGTTATCTGTGGGGCAGGTTAAGGTATGACCTTGGGGCTGAAGGAGAGGTCATGAAGACACTCCCCCCCACAAGACACACACACATCCCCCACCCTTCCAAACAGGGGAGCTGGCTCAACACCAGCACGTGCTCTTACAAGGACACCCACAGAATCGGAGCATCACACACCTAAGAGCCTAGACACAAGCAATACAATCAGGGAATCACCCACACAGGCGGGAATACCCAAGTTCACGGGCACAGCCCACACATCCCAGTTATGCAATGATGCACCCAACCACCAGAAGGCTCACGGGCCAAAGTTTATTGCCGTGCCCCAGCAATCCCGGTCATCCACTCACAATGCTTTACGGGAATTCACTCGCTTGACCCACTCAGCAGCCCTATTGGTAACCATCTATTTTATAGACGGAGAAACGGAGGCCCAGAAAAGGCCAGCCAGAAAGAAGGTTTAGGCCCAGGTTCTGTGGCCCCAGCATCCATGCTTTTGGCCACACACAAGCTATCACCATGGCTGCCTGGCCCAATCCGAACAACAGGTGCACAACACGCAACTGAGAGCACACCCAAACACAGCTGCCCGGGGTGAGCAACAGAGACACAGAGATAGACAGAAGAGATCATCACCCTCAAGTGTCTAGACTCAGAAAACAGTATAAAGGGGGGAAATCACACCACAGTCACCCCCACAGAGAGACTCACAGCTTCTTGGGAGACATACACACATACACACACACTCAGGGTGACACAGGGGCACACCCCAAGCTCCCTCAGTCACTCTGGGCTGGTCCTCAAGGAAGCAGCAGGTTTAGGAATGAGAAGGGTGGGGGGCACCTCCCTTGTCCGCTCAGCCCAACCGGTTCCACCAGGGTCATGGATAGAACCACCTGCCTTGTGAAACCTACATTGGGCAACTGGACCCAGACTGGGCCTGGACATCTAGGGTCTGAGGAAGGATGGGGGCTGGGAGCTGTGTCCTGAGGGAGTAGTGGGGGGCAGGTTCTGAACCCACGGGTTTCAGGGGGAGGTTGGTACCTTGATGCCAGTGCCTGAGGGGAGGAGGGATGTAGGGACCAAGACTCTTGGACTCCTTCCTGGGTTCTGGGTAAGGGCTGGGAACCGGCATTCCTGTGCTCTGTAGGTAGAGCAACCAGATTCAGCAAATCAAAATACAGGACTTGCCCTTACATTTGCATTGCAGATTCAAGATGGATGCTTGGTCCCTGTAAGCACTGTCTCATGAGCTATTTGGAACTCCCTCGAGGGGACCTGACTTCCCACAGGACAAAACATCACCTGGTCGCACAACCTCTTGATGGTCCGTTCATTGAGGGTCATTGTGGCAACAGTGTGGCTCTGCCTCACTTCCCTGGACCCTTTACTCCAGTGAACACCATGTCTCTGTCTGGGGGGAGTCCGTTCCGGAAGATGGGTTCAAAGGAAGATGGTCCCAGTCTCACTATCCTCGCTACCCGGCCGTCTTGGTTCTCTCTCAGACTAAGTTGTTCAGGCTTGCGACATTGTCCCCGGTCTATCCAAGACTGATCACCGACACCACCCTCCCTCCCTCGGGACGCACCCATTCCTCCTCTGTAGAGTGAGTACTGGGGACACACTCAGAATCAGAAGGAGTTGATGCCTAGCTGAGTTTGGCATGTAACTGCGTTCTGGGGTTTATCCGGCAGCTCAGCGTGAAGGGGATGGGGTCAGGTGGCTGGAGAGTGACTGTGCTCCTCAGCCCCTGCCCTGTACCATCAGGTCTCTCTCCTTCCAGCTCCATGCCCGCCATCCCCACAACCAGGGCACCTCACAGCTTCCCCAACCCGGATTTCCTCATCGATATGAGTTGCTGCGTCTAATTGGGGCCCCAGGCGGTGTCAGGGTGAGGAGAAGAAACTCAGTTCAGGTTGTCATCCTTGAGTTCTCTTGGGATGACCGACCCTGAATCACACCCCTAAAGCGTTGGTTGTCTGGATGGGGGTGGGGAAGATGGAGCCCCATGGCTGCCTCGACAGGACAGACCTGGAAGTAGAGAAACATACAGAGGGGAAGGGGAGATGCTGAAGCGGCAACGGGAGACCCCAGAATGAGGACACAGAGACACCCAGAGATGGGGAGAGAGAGTCACAGCTGGAGAGGCGGGGAGCCGGACCCAGAGATGGAGATGCAGGGACACCAAGACAGAAGTTGGAACCTGCCCCTCAGATGAGCAGGCAAGAAGCTCCGGGCACTGCTGACACCCCCACCCAAAATCTTGGACAAAGGGCATGGCCCTCTGGGCTTGTGTTGGGAGCCCAAGGCTTGGGTCTTGCCGTGGGGGAGGGGACCTCAGGGAAAGCTGGGATCCTAGGCCAGCAGCTTGCTCCACCGGCCATGGCCCCATCCCATCCCCGGTGAGATGATGACACCACTCTGTTCTCCAGGCGACACCCCACTTTTCTGGTGCCTCCTACATTTTTTGGGGTGACACCCGTGCAGAGAACCCCACCCGGCTCTAATGCGGCTTCCCTCACTGAGTCACCTCCAACCTGGACAAGCCTGTCTAGGGGGAGAATATGGCAACTCAGGCCCTCAGGCCCCCAGCTCCGTCACCCTCCAGTGACGTGGAGTCCAGGCCCCCCCACCCTAGGCAGGGAGCAGCCTAGCCCAGCCTCCAGGCCCCTCCCCATCAGGCCCAGGGAGGGGTCCACCCCCAGCCCCTCATCCACCCCCCCTCACCCCCAGGACTCAGGACCCCAGACCCCAGTTGTCTCTTCTAAGACCACCACCACCGCCACTCCCCTGGAGTCCTAGCCCACAGCCATGCCCTCCCTCAGGAACTACGTACCTGGGCCTTTCCACCTTTCCGTGTTCCCAGCCGCCGCCTCCCTTCCCAATTTGTAGGGGTGGAGCGAGGTGTGTTTATTTACTTTGGTTGCAGGGTGAGTCATCTCCCCCAAAACACACTGCCCCCCATGTACCCATGAATGAGAAAATGCCCCCCTCTCCCAGGGTGGTGGTGGGGCATCACTAAGTTGGCTGCACTCTCCTGGCACCCCCTTTCTCTCCTGCGTTCTCCCTCTGCACCTCCTTCCCTTCCCTCTGACCCTCTCACTCCGCTGTGTCCCCTAGTCTCCCAGGCTCTGGGTCTGCCTCTCCCTTTGTAGTAACTTCTCTCCTGAGCTTTGTGCCTCCCTGTCTCTTAGCCTCTCTCTCCCACCTTTCTTCCTGCCTCTCCCCATGCCTCCTGGGTCACCTCCCCTTCTTTTCTTCTTCTTCTCTCTCTCTCTCTCTCTCTCTCCCATCTCCCCATCCTTCTGTCTCCCCTCTGCCCCTTGGTCTCGCAATCCTTACCCATTTCTCTTCTCTTGCAGGTCTCTGCACCTTGACCCACTCAGCTGCCCAGTGGCCACCTTCCTGCCCCATCTGTCTCCATCTCTGCCCAAACCACTTGCTTCTCCACCCTCCCCCAATGCCTCACCCCAGGTCACCTCCGTTTCCTCCATCCAGAGAAGGAGGGGGAAGTTGGGAATTGGGGGAAAGATGGGGGGAGGGGGGAGGAGGAGGGGAAGAGAGGAAGAGGGTCATTCAGCTCTGCTGGGCTCCCTGGGCATCTCCTACAGCCCCGCCCAGGTGGTGCTGGGATATAAACAGCTCCTGGCTGGAGGCAGAGCTCAGTGCTTCTTCATCCACACCTCTGTCACCACCATCTACATCCTCATCGTCGTCGTCCCAGAAGGTAGGAACAGCCGCCCTCGGCTCTCTTCTCGAGGCAAGGCCCCCCTGATCTGTGCTCTCCCCACCCCACCCCACTCTCCTCTCTCCATCCCTCTGCCTGGCCCTCTTCTCTGGGCAGCTCTGGCTCCGTGGATGTCTCCCCGTAAGGGGTGCCGGCTTGAGTTTGGAAACCCAGGGACCCAGCACCCCTCTACGAATCTCCTTGGTCTGGGGGCCATTTCCCCCTTTGCAACTCTGAGCCTCGTTGTTCCTTCTGGCAAATGGGCTTTGCACTAGAGTCTGTGCCTGCAGCGGACAGGCCAGCTCAGTCATGTCTCTGGTTCCTGGCTCTGGCGCTGCGCTGGCTGTCCCCTGGTCCAGGGGGACTCTGTGTATGTCCCTGTCTCTGGGTCTCTCTCTCCAGCTCTGCCTCTGGCATAAGGAGGGGCCTCTGGGTCTGTCGGGCAGCTGTAAAGAGGTGGGCGAGGTCCTCGCCCCCCCACGCCCCCACTCCCTATGCCACATCTCTCCGGGGCCTGCAGGTTCCCCTTGGCCTCTATTTCCCCAGCTGTCCTCCCCCTGAGAGCCCAGCACCTAGCTCCCCCTGTCCCCCCACCCCAGTCTCCAGCACCCCTTGAACAGACTCCACAGCTCTCTGTCGCTGCAGCCACCTCAGCCGTCCCCAGCGCCACCTCCTCAGGGCCCACAAGATGCAGTTTGAGATGCACGACCACGTGAAAGGCAAAGGTGGGGTCGATCGATCGATCGCGGGATGGACCGGCCACCCTCCCAGTCCCCGGAGCAAGGCCGCCTCCCTTCCCTGGGCGCCCTAGCTGCGGAAGACACATGGCACCTGCTTTTACCCTAGAGGCCCCCAAATGTGGGAACTCAGTAGCCCAGACGTGGAGGCAGCGGCAAGTCCCGGCTCCATGCAGACCCTCCACTTCCCTGATGTGCAGGAGCCCCCCACTCCCACCCCTCACCCCAGTCCTCCTAGACTTGCTGGAGGCAGAAGGGGAGGTCTAATTGGAGGGATGGGGGGGAGATACAGTGGTGTCCTCTAAGTGGGCGGCCTGAAGGCCCCGCCCAGACTGCCCGACAGAGGGAGGGGAGGACAGGGTGCGAAGCTGCCCGCTGACCCTGGCCTCCTATCTCTGCAGCCATGTCCTACCCGGTGACCAGCCAGCCCCAGTGCGCCAGCAGCTGCTACCAGACCCAGCTCAGCGACTGGCACACGGGGCTCACCGACTGCTGCAACGACATGCCCGTCTGTGAGTGCTCCCTCCCCTGGCCCCCTTCCCTCTCTGTGATTTCTCCAGCCCTTCCACCCGGTCCTGAACCCTCAACGCTCACACCTGCCAACCACACGCCACTCCCCCTCGACCCCGCGCCCTCAACTTTCCTCGTGTGGCCCCCCTCCCAGTCTCCCCAGACCCCTACCTCCCCTCAAGAAAAAAAATTCACCGCCATCCGACTCATAGCGACCCTCTAGGACTGGGCAGCAGGCGCCCCGGCGCTGGAGTGGTTATATGTTGGGCTGTGAGCCGCCCAGGGTCGGCAGTTCGAGACCACCAGCAGCTCCTCGTGAGAAAGGCTGGGCTTTGGACTCCCCCAAACAATGACAGTCTTGGAAACCCACTGGGGGTCTCTACGAGTCAGCAATGAGTTTGGTTTGGGGTTTGGAGGACTGGGTAGAGCTGCTCTCTGTGGGTTTCCAAGATGGGAGTAGAAAACCTCAGCTCTTGCCC